ACTGACCTTTTCGCAAGTGCAAGGTGCGCGCGAGAGGACTGTACCGCCGCCGGGGAATCTCGTGTCGTAACTTATCGACGTTTATCTCGCGCCTAGCTACGGCAACGCGACGTCCGTCGTCGGTAAATAGAGATTAACATTCACCACGCAACGGAACGGGCCGTATACTCCTCGGGATAATTGCATGACAAAGTGCACGTCCGCAGAGCTCACGTGCGTGCATGTATGCGTGTATGTGCGCGCGCGCGCGCGTGTGTGTGTGTGTGTGCGCGCGCGCGTGCGCGTGTTCCATTAAGAATCGCGACGCGTCCGCGAGGCACGGGATAGGATCGGCGGCTGATTAGTTTGAATTCTTCTGTTCTCACCTCTGTTTAACGCTGCATTGAAGCCTTCGAGGATGTTATTATGAATCGTACCTTGTGAAACATCGCGCTTTGTTAGGATAATTAAATAAGAATCGAAACGGACGCGATGCATATTGAAGGAATTTCTGTAATTCTAATTTTAGCGATTTGGAAATCAATAACCTGACTTTCCTATGCGCGATCGTTAAATATCAAAGAGCTATGGTAACCCAATCCCTTGAGTTAAATAATATTTTGTTATTTTTAACTTTCACGCGTCAAAATGTAAATCAATCCATTTCTGTGGTTAGTTTCAAAGTAAACAATGTTCATATTAACGATTGCACTTAGTAAACAATAAACTAAATTCGAGTCAAATTTAATACATTTTCTTGAGTTTAATTGTTTAACTCCATTATTCTAGTTAAATTAACGACACATTACATAACAGCAATGACCTATAGAAATAATTATAAATAACTCAAATTGGTTATAATTTAACATTACGAACTATATGTATTTAACAGTGTATATACTTTTGAAAAATGTTTAATAAAAAAAAAATGGGCATTTTAATGTGGCGTAAAGCATAGACATGATTTACAAATTTGGCCCTTGCTTATTTTTTAATAATTGTTCTTCATATGAAGTACACTTCTTTGAAGCACGCGTGGAGTGCGCAACACATGCTTCACGCGCCTCCTGAGGAATCCCCGCGTATCTCTGCGATTCGGATAATGCATTTCTCGATCGCACCTTCGATTCTGATGAGAGGGAGGAAGAGTGAGTGAGCGAGTGAGTGAGCGAGTGAGTGAGCGAGTGAGTGAGCGAGTGAGTGAGTGAGTGAGTGAATGAGAGAGAGAGACAGAGAGAGAGAGAGAGAGAGAGAGAGAGAGAGAGAGAGAGAGAGAGAGAGAGA